TGATACCTTTCTCAGAATATCTGAACTCCATCCCTAGAAAGTATGTCATTTTGCCTAGATCAGTCATTTCAAATTCATTCATTAGAACCTTCTTGAACTTGGCTATCTCCTGTTCAGAACTTCCAGTCAATAGTATATCATCAACATATAAACATACCAGAGTCATATTGCCTTCAGAAGTATGCTGAACATAGACACCGTACTCCATCTCACATTTCTGAAAGCCTTGTTTCTTGAAAAATGAATCAATCTTCTGATTCCAAGCTCTGGGCGCTTGTTTCAGTCCATATAGAGCTTTGTATAATCTGTACACCATCCCTTCCTGATTCTTTTCCTCAAATCCAGGAGGTTGTGACACGTAAACTTCTTCTTCTAATGGACCATTCAGAAATGCAGATTTTACATCTAAATGCATCAGAGGCCAATTCCTGTTAGCAGCTATTGCAATCACCATTCTGATTGTTTCATGTCTTGCTACAGGTGCAAACACTTCAGAATAATCCAGCCCAGGTTTCTGTAGAAATCCTCTGGCTACCAACCTTGCTTTATGTTTGCCAATTGAACCATCTGGCTTTAACTTCTGCTTGAAAACCCATCTGACGCTGATGGCTTTCTTGTCTTTTGGAAGTTCTGTCAGCTTCCAAGTCTTGTTTCTCTCTATAGCATCAAGTTCTTCTTTCATGGCCTTCAGCCAGAGCTTCTGCTTAAGAGCCTCCTCTGTACTTATAGGTTCAGAGTCTACTAGCATAGCACACTGAATAACTTCTCCTTCAGAGTCTACTTCAGTGTCTTGCAGCATGTCAAATTCTGCAAATCTTCTGGGAACGCTTCTGATTCTTTGTGGTCTCTGAACTTGTTCAGAGTCTTGAGCTTCAGAGTTTCTAGCTTCAGATGATTGACCTCCAGAGCTTTGACCATCTTCAGAGTCTGGCATATTTCCAGAGTCTGAATTGCCACCAAGATCTGGATTGCCATCAGAGTCTGAATCATCAGAGTCTGGGTCATCAGAGTCACCTTCATCTTCTGAGTCATTTTCAGAGTTTGAATCAGTATCAGAGTCAGAGTCAACGTCAGGGTTTACTTCAACTTCAGAAATTCTTAACTCTGGTCTTTCTTCAGAGGTTCTAACATCAGAATCAGATTGAGACTTGTCCCAATTCCAAACTTCTGATTCCTTCACAATCACATCTCTGCTGAATTCAATTTTATTGGTTTCTGGACAATAGAGCTTGTATGCACCTGTACTGTGGTATCCTATCAGAATCATCACTTTGCTTCTATCATCCAGCTTCTGTCTTCTGGCTTCTGGAACATGTTTATAGCAAACAGAACCAAATACCTTCAGATGACTAACACTTTGCTTGTCTCCAGTCCACTTCTGCATAGGAACTATTTCCTTCAACTTCTTCGTAGGACATCTGTTGAGTACATACGTTGCAGTGGCAACAGCTTCTCCCCAGAGCTTCTGAGGAAGCTTCTTCTCCTTTAGCATGCTTCTCACCATATCAAGCAAAGTACGGTTTCTTCTTTCAGCAAGACCATTGTGTTGAGGGGTATAAGGAGCAGTAACCTCATGCTCAATTCCATTCTCCTCACAGAACTTCTGGAACTCTTTGGAGTTATACTCACCTCCACCATCAGTTCTAAGAATCTTCAACTTCTGACCACTCTGATTCTCAGCCTTCATTCTGAACTTCTTGAATTCATCAAACACCTCGTGTTTGAACTTAATAAGGGATACCCATGTCATTCTTGTGAATTCATCAACAAACAACACAAAGTATTTATTCCCTCCAATTGATGCTACTGGAAATGGACCACACACATCAGAGTGTACAACTCCCAAGGCATGTTTTGCTCTTGGAGCAACTTCTGATGCAAATGGCAATCTTGGTTGTTTTCCTTCCATGCAAACTTTGCATGACTTTTCAGGCTTCTTAATTGTAGGAATTCCATGTACCAATTTCTTTGAATTCAGATGTTGTAAGCTTCTGAAATTCAAATGACCAAATCTTCTGTGCCACAGCTCACTCTCCTTCTCAGTACTTGTTGCACTAAGACACTCTGAGTCTGCAGTTCTGACATTCACCTTGAATGTTCTATTCCTTCCCTGTTCTGACTCCATAATCAACTTCTGATTACAGTCATACAGCTTCAGAAGATTGTCCTTCATGGTAACTGAGAAACCTTTCTCAATTAATTGTCCCACACTCATCAGATTGCTTCTGATGCCAGGTACATACCACACATTCTGAATCAATGCTATTTTCCCATTGTTCAGAGTCACTCTGACATTTCCCATACCTTCTGCATTAAGATATTTGTCATCAGCACATCTGATCTTTGTTCTCTTTTCAGAGTCAAAGTCAACCAGCCATTTCTTGTTTCCAGTAAGATGATTTGAACAGCCAGTGTCCATATACCACCAGTCTGTCAGATCATCAGATTCAGAGGCCATCAATAGCACAGATTCGTCATCAGAACTTCTGGCTATATTTGCTTCTTCTGATTTCTTCTCCTTGTTTGACCAACAATCTCTAGCAAAGTGACCAAACTTCTTACAACAGTAACATTGTATTTTTCTTTTGTCATACTTCTCTTTTCCCCTCTGAGCATTCTTTTGTCTATCAGAGGTTGAGCTTTCTGACTTCTGACCACCATCAGATCTTCTCTTGACTTCTGACTGCTTCTGATACCTCCTATCAGAAGTTGCTTTCAGAGCTTGCTGCTCTACTTCCCTTTCAGAAGTTCTCTCAGTCAAACGCAACTCTTGCGCTTCTAAACTGCTCTGCAGCTCTTCAATTCTCATTGTGCTCAGATCTTTGGAATGTTCTATTGCTACCACAATGTAATCAAATTGAGGAGTAAGGGATCTCAATACCTTCTCCATGATTGTTTCTTCAGAAAGAGTTTCTCCACATGCCTTCATCTCATTAGTGATCAGAATCACTCTGGAGATGTATTCAGAAACTTTCTCATTATTCTTCATGTTGAGATTCTCATATTGCTTTCTCAAGGACTGAAGCTTCACCTTCTTCACTGATGCGTCACCACCATAACATCTCACCAGAGTGTCCCATGCAGCCTTTGCTGTTGTAGAGTCTGCAATCTTCTCAAACACGTTTACATCCACACATTGATGAATGAAGAACAATGCTTTCTGATCCTTCTTCCTTACTTCCTTCTGCGCGTTTTTCTGTTCATCAGTTGCATCTGCTGCTACTGGAACATAACCATCAGTGACAAGATCCAGAACATCTTGAGCACCAAATAGTACACGCATTTGGATCATCCAACGATTCCAGTTTTTACCATCAAATACTGGAAGTTTGGTGTTCATGTTGCCGTTTCCGTTCATCTTCTACTTTGCACAATACACTCAGAGTTTTCTCACACAGTGTTTCCCAACCCACAGAATTAAAAAAAAAATTCTGATCAGATTTTGTTCAAGATTCAACAAGAATCTGAGAAACAAAATCAAACACACAAGACCTCACGTTCACTCGTGTTTCCCGTGTTTCCCAATGAATCTGAACCGGAGCTCTAGATACCAATTGTTGGTGCAAAGATAGAATAAATGATGAAATAGGAAAATATTACTAATAAGAGAATGACGGCTACAAACATGATAAAAGTTACAATGATTGTCACCCTATTTATAAGCTAAAACTAGGGTTACTAGAATAAGATAAAATACTAAAATACCCTCTAACAAACTTAGGGGCTAAGAAAATAGTACAACTAAATAAATATGAATTATTATTAATATTCTAATAAATGGTGCATGGTTTGTCTTGTTTTCCAAGAATACGTGACGCATCACATTTGAATTATTATCCCAATTTGTATAGCTTTTTCATTTCTCTTAACCACTCGGGCACTTCTGTCTTAGAATGTGTCTTCCTATAGACAACTGTTTCGGATAGTGGTACTATAAATATAAAACACGAGTAAAATGGTGATTCGTTACATTTAACGGTGCTTTAATTGTTTCTAACTTTTACCCAAATATAGTGGAGTTGAGAAAGACTTGTTTTCTTCGTATTTAACTGTTTTTTATTCAACTAACCTTCATTGCATTATAAAAAATTTAATAGACCTAAATTTGACTATTCGGTATTCTTGACTAACAATTTAGTGAATTTTTCTATTAAAAAAATAAATAAATAATCTTTTAGTATTGATAAAATTTCTTAGTTATACTTTATTTCATATAAATTTCTAAGAATGCATATCATTAAATTTATTCTTTAATATCTTGACGACTTTTTTTTTATTAAGAATATAAAGTAAATATTTATTTACTATTTTTATTTTATTTCCACTTATTATTTCATCCTTACTATTTATAATATATTTTCCTTGTTCCTTTTTTCTTTACAGCTCATTCTCAATCATACCGATTTTAGATTACTTTTTACCACTTATTTTCCAAACTATGGTGCTTATACACAACATTGTTTCGTATTATTGTATATAGTTTATAGTTGTATACCTGCATATAAATTATTTATTAAAAAAAATGTTAGTTGAAAAATAGAAAAAAAATGTTGTTTTTCCAAATAATTACCTAATCTCATATATATATATATATATATATATATATATATATATATATATATATATATATATATATATATATATATATATATATATATATATATATATATATATATATATATATATATATATATATATATATATATATATTTAAAAAATTAGTTTTTATGGTTTTAGTGTTTATTTTGATTTTTAGAGTTGTTGATTTGGAAAGAGTAGAGAACTGTTTTTTGAGATGTTTATAGAATTATTTTTTTGAATAAAGCTATGTATAGATATAATTTAAAATAAAAAAAATAAAGCCAGTCAAAATCATTTATTTAAAAAATATGATTAAAAATATAATTTTACCATTTTTAATAAAGAATAATTTACAGAATCACTTTTGGGTATCTATATATCACCAAACCTTTGAGGTTTTGAAACCTCAAATTATCAAAATGTCACAAAAAATTTACATCAACTCACCCTTAAACGTGCCTTTACTATCAAACAAAAATGAAGTATCTTTTTTTCAAACATGTCTTAATGGACTCAATGCAATTGCAGGTCTCATTCTATATTCCAGCATATATTTCGAACTGTTTTCTGGTTTTCGATTACGGTTTTTTGTATATGCTGAGATAGAGTAAGTATTCTGATAATGATAATGTTTTTTTATGTGATTTTGATTTTCTAGGTGTTGGAATACTATCAGTTCCATATGCATTAGCCTCAGGAGGGTGGTTAAGTTTAGCACTTTTAATTTCGATTGCAGCAGTAGCATTTTATTCGGGTTTATTAATGAAAAGATGCATGGAAAAAAATCCGAATATTCGAACATATCCTGATATAGGTGAACTTGCATTTGGAAAAACAGGAAGATTAATAGTATCAATATCAATGTATACAGAACTATACTTGGTTTCGATAGGGTTCTTGATTCTCGAAGGAGACAATTTGAGTAACTTATTACCTATTGAAGAGTTTCATGTGGTTGGTTTATCGATCGGTGCAAAGCAATTCTTTGTGATATTGGTTGCACTGATTATTTTGCCGACGGTTTGGTTGGATAATTTGAGTTTGCTTTCTTATGTATCTGCCAGTGGTGTCTTTGCTTCTGCTATTATCATTTTGTCAATATCATGGACTGCAGCATTTGATGGAGTTGGTTTTCATCAAAAAGGTGATTTAGTAAATTGGAATGGAATCCCTTCTGCTGTTAGCTTGTATGCTTTTTGCTATTGTGCACACCCAGTTTTCCCTACTCTCTACAATTCCATGAGGAACAAGCACCAGTTCTCAAATGTAAGTGCTTTTGCTTTATTTTTTAATATACTAAGTTGAAAGTACTTTGTTACTTTAATAATGTATTAACATGTGTTCCTTTTTATGTTGCAGGTCCTAATAGTATGCTTTATATTAACCACAGCTGGTTATGCATCAATGGCTATAATTGGTTACTTAATGTTTGGTTCAAAAGTTGAATCACAAGTAACATTAAACTTACCACTAAACAAATTAAGTTCAAAAATTGCAATATACACAACCTTGGTGAATCCAATAGCAAAGTTTGCTTTGATGGCAACACCAATTACAAATGCTCTGAAAGATTTACTTCCAAGGACATACAAGAATAATAGAGTGACCAACATCTTTGTGAGCACTGTCCTTGTAATTAGTAATGTTGTTGTTGCATTGAGTATTCCATTCTTTGGTTCTCTTATGTCATTGGTTGGAGCATTTCTAAGTGTCACTGCTTCTATTTTGCTTCCTTGTTTGTGTTACTTGAAGATTTCTGGCACTTTTAGGAATTTTGGGGTTGAGACTGTGACAATAGTGATGATAATAGTAGTAGCTATAGTAATGGGAATATCTGGGACATATACTTCAGTTGTTGAAATAGTGCAAAATTTGTAATGAGTAAATGTACTATGTTGAAGTCCATTCTCATTTTCATGCATATCTATAGAGTGATATGATGAGTATTGGACAGAAGAGTACAAAACACGATATAATTGAGTTTAGTGGATATAGAAAATTAGGAGGGTAAATTTTTAGTGCTCACATAAAAAGAAATGTAAAGTTTTGTTGCCCCTTTACTTTACATCAATAATTAATACATTTTTAATTATATAAGATTTTTTAAAAATGCATTCTTGAACGGTTGTAAATCGGATGTCTTGAAATAAAAAATAAATAGTTTCTTTATAATCAAGAAACATATAAGGGTTAGAGTTAACAAAGAAAATAAGGTAAAACAACAAGAAATAACAAGGATTGGTTATAAACTGTTATTCTTTCTTTTCTCTTAGAAACAAGATTACAAGTATACAAGAATAATAAAATAATCTCTCTCTCTTGAAATTAGGATTTTATCTTCCTATTTTTTCTTATACCAAGATTGAGAAACTAGCATCCTATTTATAAGAAAAATAACACACTAACCTAATGGATTTTTTTAGCAATTACCCATTACAAGCTAACTTAAACACTTGGACTTACAAGCAAGACCCAATCCAATATCCTAACAACCTAGCAATATTGACTAATGCATGTTAGATCAAACTTCAACTATAATATGCATTACTCCGACAACAGCATGCTAACATACTTCGATCTCATGCTTAATTCGTGTCGAAACATAAGCTACCCTTCGACCATACTAGAGTTCGATCCAACATCTCACAAATCTCCACCTTGGATCTAACTCTATAATGTCAAGAAACTAGCTTTCTTCATGCAGCTTTATCAATTGCATACAGTGGAAAAACTTGCAACTGAGCAACATCTTGGTGATCATATCAGCATCATATGAACAAACTTCGAGTGCTGCTTTATTATCTTCACCCAAGGCTCCACCATAAATTAAGACTCTATTCAGAGACCCGTTTATGTACCTTAGAATCCACTTCAATGCTTTCCAGTGAGCCTTTCTAGGATTCACCATGTACCTGCTTACAAGACTTACTGCATATGCTATGTCGGGTCTAGTACATACTATATCATACATCAAAGAATCCATTATATTAGCATATGGAATGCTATTCATATAAGTTCTTTCAACATCAGTGTTGGGACACTGATCTATACTCAGCTTGAGTTGAGGGTTTGTCGGAGTCACAACAGGCTTTGAATTCGACATACCAAACTTTTCGAGAACCTTCTGTAGGTATGCCTCTTGAGATAAGCATAATTTCAACTGCTTTCTATCTCTTCAGATGTAAATCCCAAAAATTCTGGACGCAGCTCTCAGATCCTTCATGTCGAACTCCTTATTGAGTTCAGCCTTCACCCCCATTACATCTTCGACATTGTTGCTTGCTATTAGAATATCATCCATATAGAGCAATAAAATAACAAATGAATTACCCGGTCGAAATCTGAAGTAAACACAATGGTCGAACTGACTTCTGATGAAACTTATGTGTGCCATGAACTTGTCGAGTCTCCTATTTCATTATCGAGGAGATTGTTTCAGTCCATATAAGGATCTATTTAGCTTGCACATATAATCTTCCTTCCTTTTTTCGACATACCCTTCAGGTTGCCTCATCAGGATTGTTTCATCTAAATCACCATACAAGAACGCAGTCTTCACATCCAGAGTGCAACCACCACTGCTAGACAAAGAATTGGTTGACCTATTCATGGATACTTTGCCAGGTTCGTACTTGGATAAATTGATCAGCGGTAGAACATCAAACTTCTCTGACCTGGTAATAGCAGGAGAATGCATTGAAAGCGCACTAAAGAGTGGAAAAATTCAGGATGTCTCGAGTAGTCAGGCCAGTGAAACTAAATCCCTCAGTAACTAACAAATGGGAAGAAGAGGATGTAATCAATGCAGTCATGATAAATGTTGGGTATTCTCAGGGTGAACCGGTGAAATCTTTTGGTTCTTCATCTTCTCAGCAATCATTTCCTAGGTCATCATATCAGAAACCTTAGGTCGTTCCTCATGCAAATCAACGAGCCTATAGCTGAGGTTATCAGAATCAGCGCTAGAATCAGAGTAGGCCTCGCTACAACTTGGAAAGAAGGAATGATCCTCTTCATCTAGCTCATATGTTGTACAATAAGCTTCTGGCACGTCTGATTCAAAACTCATTGGTGGAGCCCAAGACTCTTAAGCCTGTGCCAGAACCTTACCCTCCTGGGTACAATCCCATGGGCAACGTGGATATCATGCAGGGTCCATGGGGAACTCAACCGAAGATTGCAAATCCTTCTAGGCCAAAGTGCAGCAGTTAATTGACAAAAGGTACATATCCTTTCCAGAAAGAAGTTTGGTTGTCCATTTGAACTCCTCATCTGTTTGAGCTCAAAGACTTCAAGGCTCATCTTCTGAAGTCAGTGGTCCAGACATGTAGACATCCTCAACATTGGCAGTCCTTGGGCACCTTTTCTCATTTGCATTTGTAGTTTCTTTCTTGTTAGTTGCTACTTGTTTTTAAACATTATTGTTTTGAATGGTAATATTAATGATGTGATTATGCATTTTTTGAATTAATCATGTCACATTCGCTTATTTTTTTAATCATTTTATTGCAAAGCACATACACATATGCCTCTTATTCACTTCACTTTATTGTTGTTGTTTAGCAAATATTGGAGGGAGGATGCCAAAAAATGAAAACTCATAATTTCTGATTGTATGCTTTCGGATAAAATCTTGCTGATGATGTACAAGAATTGTTTCAAATCCCCTAAACACCGGAGAGATAAGGAGTTAGTCCATAGTCAGCCACTTTGTGCCTAGAAGTAGGAGTTTCTTTTGGCCTTTCAAACCCTCACATCTTATCCTAGGGCACGGTAGTTGTCAGTTAATTTGACCAAGCATTCAAATTTCAAGAGGAGTGTGCCCATTCAAGGACCAATCACATCATATCCCTTTCAAGAGGTTATACCTCAGTAACTACAATGGGTATACCTCACCAACCAGGAGTGAGACAGTCACAACCCTTTTGTAGAGATCAAGACAGCCAGTGTCATATGACTCGTTTAAAAAAAAGGAAAAAGAAAGAAAGCCCGCTAAGTCGAAAAACATGAAAGCAAGAACTTAGGCAAAAATTAAGGCATCCCGCTGGACTTCAAAATCGGAAAAAAATTCAAAAAAAAAGAATCAGTCTAGACAAAAATTAGGAAACAAAAGAACAAAAAAGAAGGATCACAAAAGAAAAATCCTCAGTCAAGAACAAAGTTGTGTGACTACAGGAACCAAAGACGAAAAGCCAATGACTGTCACTCCGAAAACCTTGAGGGTTCCTTAACCATCACTCTTGCCATTCAATAAACATTTAGAAAGGTGAGTGCTCGTACAAAGTTAGATGAACGTAGGATTGGAGACTATCACGGAGAAGGGGTGGGTAATAATCAAACTTTGAACCTTTCATCCTTTGTTTCGATAACCGTGAACCAGACCACGATTCAACCCTTAAAAGACCTAATTGAGGCGGGGTTTATTTTGAAGGCATACTATAAACCTAATTGAGGCGGGATTATTCTGAAGGCATACTATAATGATGTTGCATGAACTGACTCCTACGAGATTTGTTAATCTTCTTTTTAGCCATATCTTTCACTAGCCAAATCAGCACTGCGTCTGGACTATTGGTCCATTTGTCACACACTATCACATCATTCTAATAATGACTGATTTTTCAAAATCTGCATGAGCGTTGCATTAAGATTACCATTCGTGAAAAAAAAATTTAATTGCAGGTCAGTAGTTGACATTGAGGAAATTCTAACAAGGAGCAATCGAAGAGGACTGAATCATTCAGCAGTCTGGATCAAAATTGAGTATACCTTATAGCCCTATGGATCTGGGGCATTGACATCCAATGAGTATGGAATCAGTCATTTTAAGGTAAGTCCCCAAGCATCGATTGATTATGGGGAAAATAATTCAAGAATCGTTTGATCAAAAGTGAATCATCTTGAGACTCTACCAATCAGGGGCAGGTCACCTAGAGATCTTGTTGGTTAAGGGTGAATCCCTTCAGTGTTCAATCAACGCAAGTTAATTCGCTTCAACACTCATTCAGGGGCAAGCTTCCTCAATAGTACATTGAAGCCAACCACTATGAGAGTCGGTTAATCAAGGATAAATCTTTTAATGGTGCAAATTCTAGGGCAAGCCATCTCAAGGTCATCTCATGGCAAACTACTTTCTTTTCAAGGTGAACTTTCACAAGGATCAGACTGGGGAAGTTAAACTATACTGGGGTAAGTTACTCAAGCAAGTTCCATTTTGTCAGCAACTATTGAGTTCGAGACGAGTGTCGGGGAATCGTGTTATCACCTCGTCAAATAACCTTAGCCTTTTGAAAAATCCTTGATGCAAATGACCTCCTTTCCATTGCTGGGAATATTCATATCCTTGCATTTTGTCACTGGGTTTCATCCCACAGCCTAAATCTGTAACCTGTCAGAATTCTGTAGCCAAAATCAATTCAAAACCAGTTTCCGTCTGGCCAAGCGTTCATTAAATACCAGTTCCCGCCTGACACATGTCAACTTTTAAACCAGTTCCCATCTGGTCACCCTTTCTTTAACCAGTCCCTTTCTGGAAAATCATCTCAAGATACCAATTCTCGTCTGGTAGACAACCATTAAACCAGTTCATGTCTGGTCACCCATCTTTTAGCCTACCATTTAAACATCAGTTCTCATCTTGTAAACCTTTTCTAAGTCCAGTTCTCGTATGGAAAACAACAAAGTCATCTCCCGTCTCATACCAAAACATGATGTCAGTTCTCGTCTGACAACTTAACCTTTTGCCACCAGTTCTCATATGGTAATCTACCCTTTAAATACCAGTTCTCGTCTGGTAGTTCCCCCTTTAGAGTCCAATTTCGTAAATAAATCCCTAGAAAATCTAATCACCATAAATCTGGTCCCATCCTTAAACCAAA